CGCTCCAGCCACAGTTAAGCAAATTTTTTAAAAATAAGATATTTCAGGGGCTGGAGCGATAGCACAGCGGGTAGGGCGTTTGCCTTGCACGCAGCCAACATGGCCGACACAGGTTCGATTCCCAGCATCCCATAGGGTCCCCCGAGCACGGCCAGGAGCAATTCCTGAGTGCATGAGCCAGGAGTAACCCCTGAGCATCGCCGGGTGTGACCCAAAAAGCAAAAAAAAAAAAAAAGATATTTCAGAGCAAACAATGCCACCGGACATGAAGACATTGCAGAATCATAGAATTTCAATCATTCTCTTCATTGTCTCACACAATTAAGAGATAATAATTCTCTACACTGTATGCATCTAATTACAGGATGTCTTCAATACATCTAAGTTTAATAGATCTCTTTTAACCTATTTGAATAGATCTAAAATACATCAATCTATTTTTTTTTTTTTTTTGCTTTTTAGGTCACATCCGGCGATGCACAGGAGTTATTCCTGGCTCATGCACTCAGGAATTACTCCTGGCAGTGCTCGGGGGACCCTATGGGATGCTGGGAATCGAACCCGGGTCGCCTGTGTGCAAGGCAAACACCCTACCCGCTGTGCTATCGCTCCAGCCCTTTAAATCTATTTTATTTTATTTATTATTATTATTTTTTGCTCTTTGGGTCACACCCAGCGATGCACAGAGGTTACTCCTGGCTCAGGAATTGAACCCAGGTTGGCTGCGTGCAAGGCAAACACCCTACCCGCTGTGTTATTGCTCCAGCCCCTTAAATCTATTTTAATAGATCTAAGTATATCTCATTACATGTATGCCAAGGAAGCAAAAACTTCCAGATCTTCAAGAACTAGCCAATCGACAGGGGTTAGTTTTCAGCATTGCACCCCAGCAATGGGTAGAATAACAGGGAACCCGGAAACAGGGTGGAAAACTCAAAATACTGATCTGAGGACCAAAAACCTTTTTTTTCTTTTTGGGTCATGCCTGGCGATGCACAGGGGTTACTCCTGGCTCTGCCCTCAGGAGTTACTCCTGGCAGTGCTCAGGGGACCATATGGGATGCTGGGAATCGAACCAGGGTCAGCCGCGTGCCAGGCAAACGCCCTCCCCGCTGTGCTATCTCTCCAGCCCAAAAAACCATTCTCTTAACAGCAGAACTTATCGCCAAAGGCCTCAGAGGGGTCTGAGCTATAGTGCTGACCGGGTTTGATCCCCGGCATCCCATATGGTCTTCTGAACCCCTGAGCATCACCAGGTATGCGCCCCCCCCCCCCAAAAAATAAAACACCCAAGGTCTGAGGAACTCCAGCATGAGAATTCTTTAATACTTTGCTCTGCAGCTGCTAATCATTCCTTTACTGCTAGCTCAGAGGCAGGCAGGACCCCCGAACCTTCCTGGACAGAAGTATTAGGGATTGCCAAGCCAAGCCTTGGAGCCTGGCGGATGGGACGTGTTCCTCTTCGCCGGCAGGCTGGGCTTGAGTGGGGGTGGGGGCCCCCCTTGGGCCCCTGGAAGGGCTCAGATCTCAGCGGGAAACCGGTGCCCTAGAATGCAGCCCCTGGGCAATAAACAAAGGAGCTCGAGTTACAGGCGGGCAGGGATGGGAGAGGAGGAGGTGGGTCGCCTCTCGGCTCAGCCCCTAACGGCGGGCGGGCGGGCGCGTCCTCGAAGTGCCCGACTTAGGGGCTCATAAAGGCAGCTGGGGTGGGCGGGGTGGGGTAGGGGGCTGTTCCGGAGGCCCCAGAGAGAACTTGGCTATGCCTGGCTGAGGGGGACTGGGTGTTCCTTAACTACCTGTTGCTGGCTGGCTGGGCCAAGCCGGTGACTTTCCACGCCCCCTCCCCCCGGATGTCTTATTTCCACCCTGGAGTGTTGTCCTGGGGTGCCACGTGGGGGGTCACAGTCCCAGACGCACCAGAACAAACGAACGTCCCAAGTTCGCCTTCTCCAACCAGCCCTTGCCCAGACCCCTCCTTACGCAGGAAGGAAACAGATGTGTGTGTGTGTGTGTGTGTGTGTGTGTGTGTTTTATTTAATTATTATTATTTTTTTTAATGAACAGCAAACAAAGAATCCTTAGCGCCAGAGGCCACTTTCTTTGCCTTATCTCGGCGATTAGTCGAGGGTGGGGGGGTTCCTATATAAGAATCAGCAGGGGGGGAGTCTCTCAATTCTGGGGTGCAGCTCTGTTATATGACACCCCCTCTCCCCAATACAGAAACGCTAAGCCCGACAAGGAGGGTTTTGCTTGGTTGTTTTGGGGTCCCACCCGGCGATGCTCAGGGCTGACTCCTGGCTCTGCACTCAGGAATCACTCCTGGCAGTGCTCAGGGGACTCTAGGGGATGCCGAGGATCGAACCCGGGTCAGCTGAGTGCAAGGCAAACGCCCTACTCGCTGTGCTATGGCTCCAGCCCCTCACATTTTTTTATTATTATTATTATTAATTGTTATTATTATTTTTGGGTCCCACTGGCGATGCTCAGGGCTGACCCCTGGCTCTGCACTCAGGAATCACTCCTGGTGGTGCTCGGGGGACCCTGTGGGATGCCGGGCATCGAACCTGGGTCAGCGGTGTGCAAGGCAAATGCCCTCTCCACTATCGCTCTGGCCCCAATATCTTGACCTTTTTCTGTGATGCAGTACCCTAAGCCACAAAGATACGCAGAACCCAGTGAATTCATTATTTTGTGTGTTTTTTTTTTAGTTTTGGGGTCACACTCAGGGCTGACTCCTGAGCTCTGCACTCGGGAATCACTCCTGGCGGTGCTCGGGGGACCCTATGGGATGCCGGGGATTGAACCCGGGTCGGCCGCGTGCCAGGCAAACGCCTTCCCCGCTGTGCTATTGCTCTGGCCCCTGAAATTGAGATTTTTAAAAATGATCTTCTCTCCTTCCAGAAGGAACGTGCTTGCATTTGTCTGTTCTTCCAAGGCTGGGGAAACCAGATTACCGATGAGTGACAGAGAGCGTTTGGTCCAGACTCACGTCAGCCTGCATCTCTGCCCTGGCATATGAAGTCGGCGGTACTAAGCCAATGCTTTAGCTAAGCCTCATTTTTTAATGTTTTTTAAACCTCTCCCCTGGATTTCTCTACACTTTTCATGCCTTCATGCATGCAAGGAGGCCAAGATTGGATAGGAACTGCTCAGAACTTTTTAAATTCAACTATTCAGTCAACACTGCAAAAAAAGGAAAAAAAAAATCTATTAGTGGTTTCGATTTGTTTAACCATTGAAAAGTCTCTGTTTGGAATGGGAAGTTTATGAACTTGGTATGTATGGGATACATGTATTAAGTATGTATCCGTATATATGTATATATATATATGTATACATGTATCAAGTACTTGTATACACGTATACAAGTCACATCGGATACATCTCATTTAAGACAATGATGTCATTAAACAAAGGATGTGGCAACATTATCAACTACTCAGTCAATAGTGCAAGATGAAGGGGGTGCTCAGAGCAATAGCACAGCGGGGAGGGCGTGTGCTTTGCACATGACTGGCCCGGGTTGGATCCCCGGCATTACACAGGGTCCCCCGAGCACCGCCAGGAGTGACCCCTGAGTGCAGAGCCGGGAGTCAGCCCTGAGCAATTCTAGCTCCCTCCAAAAGATAAATGAGATAGATTAGGGTCTGAGAGATAGTACAGCAGGGAGGGTGTTTGCCTGGCATGCGACCAACCCCAGTTTGATCCCCGGCATCCCATAGGGTCCCCTGAGCACCGCCAGGAGTGACCCCTGAGTGCAGAGCCAGGAGTCAGCCCTGAGCATCGCCAGGTGTGGTCCCAAAACAATAACAAAACATTGTTGTTGTTGTTGCTGTGTGTGTACAACTCATTTAGTCTGAATAAAGAAATACAACATAGGCCAGAGAGATAGTTGAGGGGAGTGGGCGTTTGCCTGGCACGTGGCCCACCCGGGTTCGAATCCCCGGCATCCCAGAGGATCCCCCGAGCACTGCCAGGAGTGATCCATAAGTGTGGAGCCAGGAGTCAGCCCTGAGCATCGCTGGGTGGGACCCTCCCAAAATAAATAATAAATAAATAAATAAATAGGGTCCCCACAACTCCATAGGGTCCCCCGAGCACCAGCAGGAGTGATTCCTGAGCACAGAGCCAGGAGTCAGCCCTGAGCATCGCAGAGTGTGGCCCCCAAACCGAAACACCGAACATAAAGTTGCAAACCGTTAATTAGAGGCGTGGGGCACTAGTTCAAAGCGCTGGAGCTCCTGTTTTGTAAGTACCCCCTCCCCACCCCGAGATGCAAAGGGAAAAAAAATCTCATTCCTTGCTCTTCTGGACTCCTCTCGGGTTCCCCAGCGTCTGGGGCGCACGGGTTTGCCGTCATCATGACTTAACCCCCTCTCACAAGATCCCCACTGACCCCCCGGTACGCCCAGTTTCCCCCGGACCCTCCACCCTGTCCGGGGTGCAAGGGTTGGCCCCCACCACCGCCCACCCCAGGTCCCCCCTGGGTCCCTCACTTGGCCCCTGGTCCCTGCGGGTCCCCCTCGAACCCTCCCTCGTCCTCCCCTGCCCGGGGCGCACGGGTTTGCCCCATCACTGCCCACTCCAGAACTCCCTAGGTCCCCCCGGGTCCCTCCGGGTCCCCCTCGGACCCTCCAGCGTCCTCCCCTGCTCAGGGCGCACGGGTTTGGCCTCATCACCGCCCACTCCCCGTCCCCCAAGGTCCCCCCTGACCCCTCAAGTCCTCCCCGGTGCCCCGTCCAGGCCTCCCCGGGTCTCCCCAGGCCCTCCCCGGCCGCCCCCTGGCCTCCCGCGTCCCCCCGGGGGTGGGGGCCGGGCCCTGGCGCCGGCCAATCAGCGCGCGCGCCGCGCCCCCCTGGCGGGCCGGGCGGACCGGGGAGGCCGGGCCGGGCGCCGGGACGGACCTCGCGGCGCGCACTGGCCGCGCTGAGCCCGGGGGGCGACGGGCGCGGGGTCCCAGGGCGCGCGGGGCTCGCAGGGCGCGCGGGGCGGCCCGGGCCATGGGTGCGCGCGCGCTGGCGTTGCTGGCGCTTCTGGGCAGCTGCGTCCGGCCCGACCCCGACCCCGGCCCCGGCCCCGGCCCGGGCCCCGGCGCGGACCCCGACGGCGCGTCCACGCTGGCCTTTGTCTTCGACGTCACCGGCTCCATGTACGACGACCTGGTGCAGGTGGTCGAGGGCGCGTCCCGCATCCTGGAGACGTCGCTGCGCCGGCCCAAGCGGCCGCTCTTCAACTTCGCGCTCGTGCCTTTCCACGACCCAGGTGAGCCGGGGGATGGGGCGCGCGCGGGAGGGCCAGCGCGGGCCGGGGGGACCCCCAAGCCCAGCACCCGGCCGGCGGGAGCCCCAAGTCCAGGCACTTGGCCCTGCGCCCCCCCCCCGCAAAGCCCAGGCCCTCTGCGCCCCAGCACTGGGCCCCGCGGGTCCCCTCTGCGCCCGAGAACTGGGCCAGCGGGACCCCCAAGGCTCAGAACCCCTGCGCCCCCCAAGTTCCAGCACTTGGCCAGCGGGACCCCCCAAATCCCAGGCCCTCCGCGCCCGAGCGCTTGGCCCTGCGGGACCCCCCGCAAGTCCGGGCACTGGGCCAGACGGTTTCTCCAAGCCCAGGACCCCTGCGCCCCCCCTCCAAGTTCCAGCATTTGGCCAGCGGGACCCCCCAAAGCCCAGGCCCTCCGCGCCCGAGCGCTTGGCCCTGCGGGACCCCCCCGCAAGCCCCGGCACTGGGCCAGACGGTTCCCCAAAGCCCAGGACCCCTGCGCCCCCCACGTTCCAGCACTTCGCCAGCGGAACCCCCCCACCTCAAAGTTCAGGACCCCTGCGCCCGAGCGCTTGGCTAGCAGGTCCTCACAAAGCCCTGGCCCTCTGCACCTCAGCACTTGGCTAACGGGTCCCCCAAAGCCCAGGCCCCCTGCGCCCGAGCGCTTGACCCAGCGGGACCCCCGTAAGCCCCAGCACCGGGCCAGACGGTTCCCCAAAGCTCAGGACCCCTGCGCCCGAGCGCTTGGCTAGCAGGTTCCCCCAAAGCCCAGGCCCCCTGCACCCCAGCACTTGGCTATCAGATTCCCCCAACGCCCAGCACTGGGCCCCGGTGGTCCCCCCTGCGCCCGGGCTCCGACTGGCCACCGGTCACTGCGCCTTTTGGGTCAAGGTGTTGCGCGCCCCGGAGAGGCGGCACACGGGTGGCTGCGAACGTGTCCAGCTCCTGTGGCACCAGGACACCTCGCCGGCAGCCTTTCCAGGGGGTGGGTGGGCAGGAAGGAGACACCCCCCACACACCCGAGCCGTTCACTCCTGGGAACCCCCCTCCCTGCCCGTCTTGGGCCCCAGCGCGGGCGCATCTGAACCCAGAGGCCTTGGGGGCAGCCCCTGCAGAAATGCAGATTTGCAGAGGCCGGCGGCGCCGACCCAGCAAGGGACTGCAAAAGGGTTTGGTGTATTTTTTTTTCCCCTTAAAGCTTGGAGTTCCAGCCGCGCTGAAATACGACCCGGGTCCCCCCCACCCCGCCCCACGTTCACCTTCCTGAGAGGGGGCTGTGGCGGGCCCCTGCGCGGGCGGCAGGCGGTCGCCATCTGAGTCTCATTAGTTCTCTCCCGCCCCTGCCCAAGCTTGGGCTGGGGACTGGCCACATTCTGCCCTGGCCTCAGTGTGCTGGGCGGGGCGGGAGGGCATCTCAGACCCTGCAGACTGTCCGCTTTCTTGGACAAACCCAGTTAGGGGGTTCCAGAGCGTCTAATGTGGCTTCAGTTTTTTTTGGGGGGGAGGAGGTTGCGTGCCGCCTTTTGGCTACACCCCGGGATGCTCGGGGCTCACTTGTGGCCGTGCTCTAGGGACCAGGAATCAGCCCCCAGCAAGGCAAGCGCGTCCCCTGGGTACTACAAGTGCCGTTGCTATTCGTCTGTCCTGTCCTCATTTATTTTATTTTATCTTTGCTTTTTTTTGGGGGGGGGGTCATACCCGGTGATGCTCAGGGCTGACTCCTGGCTCTGCACTCAGGAATCACTCCTGGTGGTGCTTGGGGGACCCTATGGGATGCTGAGAATTGAACGTGGGTCAGCCGTGTGCAAGGCCAACGCCCTCCCTGCTGTGCTATCACTCCAGCCCACTGTCCACCGTCCTCCCATTGTTCATCGATTTGCTCCAGCGGGCCCAGTAATGTCTCAGTTTTTTTGAGACTTGTTACTGTGTTTGGCGTATGGAATACGCCGTGGGGAGCTTGCCAGGCTTTGCCATGCAGGCGAGATACTCTCGGTAGCTTGCCGGGCTCTCCAAGAGGGGCGGAGGAATCGAACCTGGCTCCGCTGGGCTGGCTGTGCGCAAGGCAGATGCCCTCCCGCCGTGCTGTTGCTTCAGCCCATTACTCCAGCCCACATATTTTTATTGAATCCCTGTGAGATGCAGTTACAAGCTTTCACGTTTGAGTTTCAGTCATACAGTGATGGAACCCCCATCCCTCCACCAGGGCACATTCCCCACCACCAATGTCCCCAGTATCCGCCCCCATCCCGCCCTCCCCCTGTCTCCATGGCAGACAATCTCCCCCAGACTCTCTCTCTACTTTGGGGCATCCTGGTTTGCAATGCAGACACCGAGAGGCCGTCACGTTGGGTCCTTGATCTACTCTCAGCACACATCTCCCATCCCGAGCGACCCCTCCAGCCATCACTGACTCAGTGATCTCTTCTCCATCCCAGCTGCCTTAATGTCCAGCTTGTCATGAATTCAGTCATCCGAGAAAAGGACTCAACTGTTCCCTTAAATGTAGCTGCCTTCACTGTGATTCACCGGGCTGTCAGTGGTGTTCCCTCTCCTTGGGAGTCAGGGCAGAAGGGGGTGCAGAGGCTCCTTCTGGAAGCCGTCCTTGACCATGGGTGGGGGGAAATGATCGAAACACACAGAAACCTTGGATCTGGTTTCCTGCCTGGCCGCTTCCGGAAACCGTATCCCGGGTCCCTCAGCCTGGCTCAAGTGTGTCTGGGATGGGGTGGACTCTTCCCTCGCTGGTCATCAGCCGGGCTGGTCAGAAGCCGTTTTGGCTGAGAAGCCACGATCCGCCTCTGAGTCTAAAACCAACCTCACTCGTCCCTGCGCGTCCTGGAGGTCATCATAGCTGGGGATTCTGCGTGGCCCTGGCACGGTTGGAGACACAGAATGAAGAGACCAAGAGGCGTGTGCAAGAACAAATGTCACTTAGGGACGGAGGGGGGAGGGGAGGGGCGGAGCCGTCCGACAGCCCGTTAGGACCTGGATTTGCAGCTGTGTGTTCTGGGCAGGAGAGGTTGGGTGGGGGGGGGGCGGGTGTGGCCACGGCAGGACCTGGGAAATGCAAGTGATGAGGAGGATGAAGGCCTGGGGTCTAACCGGCAGTAGAACCAGCAAGAACGTGTGACTGGGTCACCTTGGGGCAGGACGACAGTCCTGAGCCTGCAGAGATGCAGGGCGCCCAGAGGGAAGGTCAGAGGCAGCAGGGCCAGAAACAGAATCCTGAGCACAGAGCTGGGAGTGAGCCCAGAGCACAGAGCCAGGAGTCAGCCCAGAGCACAGAGCCGGGAGTCAGCCCTGAGCACAGAGCCGGGAGTCAGCCCTGAGCACAGAGCCGGGAGTCAGCCCTGAGCACAGAGCCAGGAGTGAGCCCAGAGCACAGAGCCAGGAGTCAGCCCTGAGCACAGAGCCGGGAGTGAGCCCTGAGCACAGAGCCGGGAGTCAGCCCTGAGCACAGAGCCAGAAGTCAGCCCAGAGCCCAGAGCCGGGAGTCAGTCCCTGGCACAGAGCTGGGAGTGAGCCCTGAGCACAGAGCTGGGAGTCAGCCCTGAGCACAGAGCTGGGAGTCAGTCCTGAGCATTGCCGGGTGTGGCCGCGACCACCCCCCCAAAACAAAACAAAACAAAACTCACAGAAAGAAATTAAAGTTAAGGGTGGAGAAGAGTTTATCCTTCTGTAAAGAGAAGATGTTTCAAGAAATGAGGAGGAATAAAATAATCCTGGCTCTGTGCTCAGGGGTCGCTCCTGGCGGTGCTCAGAGGACCCTATGGGATGCTGGGAATCGAACCCAGGTCAGTTGCATGCAAGGCTAACTAGCGCCCTCCCCGCTGTGCTATGGTTCCGGCCCCTTGAGAATAGTTTTTTTTTTTTTTTTGCCTTTTGGGTCACACCCAGCGATGCACAGGGGTTCCTCCTGGCTCTGCGCTCAGGAATTACCCCTGGCGGTGCTCAGGGGACCATATGGGATGCTGGGATCGAACCCGGGTCGGCCACGTGCAAGGCAGACGCCCTCCCCGCTGTGCTATTGCTCCAGCCCCTTGAGAATAGTTTTTAAGCACTAGTAAAATCCCCGGCTCCGTGACCAACATTCCAGTCTGTATTTGTGGATCTTAAAGGCCAGGGCAAACATGTGGGCCCCAAAGTACAAGCCCAACGGGTCATCAGTGACCAGGACACGGGGCCGGGAAGCCCCAGATTTTTGCATCGTTGTAAGCTCAGGGACTCCATTGTGAGTGCAGGGGCTGGTGCTTTCTGACAATCCAGCTGATACCTCTTCTGAGTCGAGATGCACCTTGGGGTGGTGCCTGCAGGCTCCTGGCTCTGGGGTGGATTTTTCTTGCTGGTGGTGCCGGGGGAAATGCAGGCAGCAGAGCCGCCGGGTTTGTGCTGGGCGCATGTGGGACCCCAGGGATTCAAACTCACGACCATATAGCACTGTCCTCCCGTTGTTCATCGATTTGCTCGAGGGGGTCCAGTAACATTGTGAGACTTGTTGTGACTGTGTTTGGCGTCTCGAGACGCCACGGGGAGCTTGCCAGGCTCTTTTTCCTACGTCCAGTGAAAACTTGCTCCTGAAGGTTAAGGGCCCACGTCTGCGTCCGTCGAAGCCGTGAACCTCTATACGGGTTTCACATCGCTGTTTTCTTCCTTCCTCCCGTGTGTGTGTGTGTGTTCTGTTCCGTTTGGAGGCGCGTCCTCACTGCCGGCGGCGAGTGGAGTCGGGTTTGACCAGACACAGCGGCAGTGAGTTACTCCATCACCGCTCCCGTCCCTTCTCGAACCCGGCGCTCCGAGCGCCAGTTGTGCAGAGAGCTGGAAGTGGGAGCCAGAACTTTCTCCGGGGATTTATTTGTTTATTTATTTTGCTTTTTGGGTCACATCCGGTGATGCAGAGGGGTTACTCCTGGCTCACACACAGGAATCACTCCTGGCAGTGCTATGGGATGCTGGGCATTGAACCTGGATTGGCCGTGTGCAAGGCAGATGCCCTCCCCGCTGTGCTA